AAACTTTGACACTTAATACCCCAAAATAAAAATAATCAAATTGTTTTGATTGGGCCTGTATAAGACAAAAAGGGAGTTGGTTGCACAATGCTGCACCTTCATGAGAAAAAGCTCCTTTACCCATCTTTGTTCGTGACAAAGGTAATGCTAGTCCAAAATTGGTTGCATCGCGGGTGTTGTGGTTGTGGAGAGTCTGTGATCTTGTAATTAGGGCCAAAGTTATTCAGTACATGATATACCATTTTACATTTATGAAACGTCCACCTCCGTTCTACCGATACCCCAAGAATAATTCTGGCGATCCTTTTATGTTGGTTTATGTATATGACTTTTGTATTGTGTGGACAGTTTGACTAAGCAGTGGAGCAGTAATCACACAGAGGCCTTATCAATGAGTTCGCAAGTAGCTTCAAACTGTCTAGAGGCAAAAATCTTTTAGCGCGACTAAGAAGTACAATCCTTGGTGCAATCTACTTGCTTGGATGTCTAACATGTTCTTTTTAACTTAAAGTTGGGTCTAACCAGACATCCAAATATTTTCTAGGTATCTACTTGAGAAAGTTGTTAATTGTCTGAAAATAATTTGATCGGGTTGCAAATTTTTAACCTCTGTTTTCTTTTGCTGATATTATGGTGAGGTTAAAACTTTGAGAAAAAACAAGTATTATACACTGTAGTTGTAGTCTCTCTCGAAGTCGTCACAGCGGATAAAAAGTCACAGTTCGTAGGGGAAAAAAAATTGCCAGCCGACCGACATCTCACCGACTTCTACTTCTGTATTGATAAGTACACGAGGATCAAGCAAGAATACCGACACAGCGACATATCTATGCATATCTTTCTTGCTTCCTCGACTAGAAAACTCCATCCACCCCCCCCCCCCTCTCTTATAGTACTCCCATCCCTCCTCTCGAGTTCTCTCAGGCTCTTAGTAATCTCACTTCTCCCCCCCCCCCCCCTCTCTCTCTCTCTCTCTCTAGCCCTCCTCTCTTTCTTTCATTCCCTGTTTCTTTCGTTCCCATTTCCTCTTTTTTCTTCCTTTTCTTTTTCTTTCCCTTTTCCTCTCATTTTGTCCCTCCCCCTTTCTCATTTTTCCTGATGGCAGCACAATTTTCACAAAGATATCCTGACACGTCGGGGGGGGGGGGGGGGGACACCCCTCTTTAGCGAGGCCCATGAATGTGGTAAAAAATCCGTAGAAATCTTCTCCCGTTTTGAAAGCCGTAGTAAGGCCAAGGGGTACCGTCCGTCTGTCAGGGCAAGGTTGCAACGTCAAAACAGTATACGAACACAATATTAAGTACGTGGGGACGTACTGCTGTCGGTCAGAAATCTAGGACCTTTGCTTTTGTACAGTTAAATTTGATATTAGATATCTTGATCCAGATCTACGAGATATAAATAGATTCATTATTGGTCCTCTTCACATTAATGAGTTCGAAACCCCAAAACACTCACCAGACACTTTATGACTATGAATATTTCCTCACGGCAACTTTCCAATTTTTGAAATTCGGGACCTCTCTAGGCTGTGGCGTTAGAGGGCAGTAATCATTAAATATTTTGCGAGCAATGAAAAATGTGTTCAATGTTCTCGATTGATTGGAGGGAGGGGTGGGGAGGGGGGGGGGGGGGGCGGGAGCGAAGCAATCGAGAAGAAAAAATTGCTAAAATTATATTCAATGCTAAATCAGTGCTTAGTCTTTAAAACAAAAAGAGGATAATCAACAACGTAATCCTGCTCGATGGATCAAATGGGAATTAACAAGGTACTTGATTGGGTTGGAAGGAGTGGTGGGAGTCATAAATCTTAAAGGCCCACTGCACTACTTGTAGCTACTTGCGCCCTCTATACAACAAACAATGCCTAATCGGTGACCATTGGTCCCCCATGATCCTCTTTTTCTTATGTTAACTGAGAGCCGAGTTGATGAGATAACCACCTGTTCAGTGACCTTGCAGGGCGGTCTAATCCTTCCTGTAAACTATGGCAGATAAGCTTTAAAATATTTTTTTCAACAAAGTAAACATTGATATATGTATTCTCATCAATTCTCATCAAAGCCATGGACATTGGTTAACATATACTTAAGGTTTCTCCACAATGTTTTACTGGATTTATTATGGCCACTAAGTCTCTAAAAACAGAGACTAAAGACCAGGGGCGGCGATTTCTGTTAATGACCGGTGGGGGGGGGGGATGAAATGCGAAATTTTTTACAAGGATGTTATACGAGGGAGCGTAGCGACCGAGCGAGATTTTTTTTGCAATTTTATTAGTCTAAACGCTGCATTCTTGGACCTTCCGGAGCCTAAAAGTGTGTTGCAGTCATTATTCAGTATATGCTATACAATTTGTTTTGCACTTTTTCAAATTTCCAGGGGGGGGGACCCCTAAAAAAATTGAGGGGGGGGGACGGACATGCCCCCCCCCCCCCCCCCCCCCCCGGATCGCCGTCCCTGCTATAGACATTAATTTAACTTTATGCTTGTGTAAAGTACAGTATTCTTAAAACGCCTCCACATAAAATTCAAAATATGAACCAATAAAATAGTAAACAAAATACAAACATGATCTTTTGGTTTTTAAATAAGAATTTTAATTTTCAATATACATTTATGCATGCACCTAAACATACTTCCAATGGAAGTCATGTATATAGTACTTCCATAGTGTAAGGAAGTTGATCAAACATACAACATGATTTTTTCTTGGGACAATGTTTGACAGTTCTTACAATAACCTGTCATGTTCCCACATCTCATATTCCTTATTTTTTTATTGTCTTGTCTGAATATACAAAACGTTCCCAAAGAAAATATAATTGTGAGCAAGTTTTAGCTTATTTTAAAAATTACAGATGCTATACAGTGGAATAATAATAGAAACAAAAAACTTTGGAAAGGAGACAAAAATATAGTGACTGAAACAGAGAAAAGAAAATGTCAATACCAGAATTGCATATGATTATCAACATAAAAACAGATGAATTTTTTATTAGATACATGCTTCAACCTTGGAAATGTTACTTTCGAAATGAAAACAGAGAGAAATATATCATATTTGATTAACTCACATTACCCAATTTCCGATTCATTTGTGAGCATTGCTTTACGATATCCTTCATTCAATTTCCTGTGGGTATTCTTTCCCAAAACATTAAAAAATAAATAAATGTGTGAATATCTTGGGATAAAAGTGATTAAAAGAGGTTTCAAAGTAATAACTTCATTAACGATCAACCCATAAGAAAAATCAATGTGTACATTACAGAAACCCACATAATCTTAAACATAAACTTGAGTTCTGGTAATGCGATTGCATTGTGAAAGAAAAGGTGTGGAATGGATCAGAAAAGTTGATCATATAGCATGTAAGTAATGGTGTGTAATGCAAGGTTCTGGAGTCATCAAAATCATCATAAATTTGGCAGAGTCTTGGTAAAGTAACAATCACTTACACAGAAAGATGTATATGGGACAACACACACGGTGTCGGGGCTAGTACTACCCTGATTTCCTTATCTTTATATGCTCATTACTCAGCCAGTATACATTTTCTTCAAAAATTGTTTGGCACATGACATTTATTTGTAATCTTGAACATTCAGTGTAAGTTTTGTTAGATTCTGTGAGAATTCATTTTCTTTTTTTACCAGAACTCAAGTTTATCTTTAATGGCATTGTGATTAACTGTAATATGACTATGTCTGATATGAAAAGGCCTCAAAAGCATAATCTAAATCCTCTGTAATTGTAAGATAATACAGCTTGACTAGAAAAATTACAGTACTCAACAAACAAAATCACTGCCTTCAGAAAATTAAGCAACTGAAAATGATCAGAATAATCAGTACATTCACTACTAAAGTAGCACTTCAATAAATTGCTTTACCAGTAATAGTAATTGTAAAAATGAAATCCTTTACTGTAAAAGCGTACAGAGAGTTCTTTTTCTTTCATAAGAAAACACACTGAGGCAAGAGAAGAAGCCATCTTAAATTGTGTGATAGGCGTGAAGAAATGACACATAGGAGAGAAGTGAATCATAAATTACTACAAATTCGAGTTCAAAGGTCAGCTTGAGTAAACTTGACAAAGTAAAATTTTCACAAATTCAACAAAATAAAATTAAAAAATTGAGAAAAAAAGGTTTTAATAATACATTGTCATAATAAACATGAGCTTTGTTGAGTGTTCAATTGTATAACTTGGTGATAATAAATTACCTACAATATTTTGATACATATGCATAATGTGATGATTCAAATTTTTGTCTTGAATGTGTTGGTCAAAACAACTGAATATTATGTCTGTGTATGTAAGCCCATCAAAGGATGATGCCAATCAGAATCATATTTTGACAGCCTTTCTCAGAGTAGTCTCAAAACCAGGAGATGGGTTATTTTATACATATACATGGAACAAACACCTGTAAATGTACTCAAGAAAGAAGAACTATCTCATGAGAGTTTAATTCCATACCAGCTAGGAATTGCTTGCCTTTATCTCTAAACCTCTTTTTATTTGCGTGATGGAAGATTGAATTCAGATGTTCTCTCAAGGGTTATTAACTATGAACTCAATTACCATAGTTGATATCTGCTTGACTCTAGCAGTCATGTGTGTTATCTCATGAATAAAACGTGATTCCATTTTGTTTATCTATCACATGGCCAGGACAGAGACACAAGGCAATTAATATGATAGTCATACCCATCCTCCTTTGATGTGTTCACATTTCTCATCATGATTTAAGGAAGTTATGCAAGCTTGTTTTCACAGATATGGGCTCCTCCACAATGTCCTTGCACAGTGTTAATGTGTAAGATGATGGTGGTTCTTTCATTACATCATTGAGAAGTCTCTCTCCTTGCTTCTTCCTTGTGAGGCTACAAGTATGCAACACTAGCTCCTTTCTGATGTCCCTCTCTCATAGTACCTGTTGCAGTAATGGTATCCTTGTTTCGCTGAGTTTCTATTTTTCTCTATTGTATTCATGACTAAAGTTCTGCCCTCCCTCACCCTATCCCTAAGGGCTATTTACCCCCTCCCATCATATTGCCTAGACCTCCCATACCGCCGCCCATACCACCTCCTGCTCCTTGCTGGAATTGTCTCATCATGCTCTGGAGTCCATTCATACCCCCTATATCATGAGAAAACAAAACAATACAAATCATAAGAACAGGGAAGCACAAAGAAGCTTAAAAGACATTAGCAGCAAATAATATTACAGTGCAGAAACATGTATGGTTAGAAACCAAATTATGAACAAGGGAGAAAGTGGTGAGAAAGACATCTTTTCATATTTGTATATGTTTTAAAAATATCAGTTTTATTCTAAATTTGTCTCAAAATACACACACAGCCATGGAAAATGTTGAGACAAAGAAAGTTTACTGATTAAGTTATTTTTGTAATAAGGAGGAAATGAAAGTACCATGATAGCAAGATACAGCTGCTGTAACATGTTATTTATTTATTGATTACATGTATACACAACAAATCATTGTGTTGTCAGTTACAAGCATAAAGTAGTGAGGTTTAATACATTTTTTGTCCATGGTTGTATTTCTCTTAAACACTGTATGTCAAAGCTGTCAATATGCCTATCATTTAAACATGACATACACAGTAATTGAGAGATGGTAACTTGCCTAACTGTTGGAGTACTCTGGGGTCCATAGCTCTTGCTATTGATTGATTGATCTTAGCCATCTGTGCTGGGTTCACGTTCTTGGACATGTCACCACCTAGTATAATAGGAGAAGAAAAGTGATTTTTATATCAAAATCAAACTTAACCCAAACTGCAAAGCCATAGATTTTATGTTGACTTCTCAATATCTTTCTAAAGCCAAGTCCAAACATTAATGCCTAAAAATTGTTTGGACATAAACAGTGAAATTTATTTAAATATTCAATAGTTTAATGTATATTAAATATTTAAATATATTTTAAACATGTATAGAAAGACTGCTTCAGGAAGACAAAAAAATTGGTTATTTGTAAACATGTGGTCTCCATGCACAGCTTATTCAACAATAAAGAAGCAATGTTTAAGGAAAACTATCTTTCTGCACAGGTGATCGATAAAAGTGTATAAAGTGTATAACAAGATCGGCTAAAATGAGATTTTGAAATATTATGAGCTAAATCCAGTGCCCCTACAACAAAGAAAAATATTGTTGATCATTCTGGTTATAACAAGCAATTTCGCTGCTCTTTATGCATACGACAAGTCATTGGAGTACTGTGCAAGCAGTGCAAGTGCAGTGAACGATGTTGGGCGTGCCTAGCCTGAGTGCTGGCTATACGTACGTCCGGTACGTTGGAAGCAGTATCGAAGCTCTCATGGACAGTACATTGTACTTATGTATAGTGTACGGACACTTCACAGACATTACTTTCCAAGCATGCTTGTTCTCGATCGCGTGCAATTAAGAGTGGAGGTGTGACTAGAACCAAGATTATGATTGGAAAGTCAATTGGGTAAGAAGGCAGTGCACGAGCACAACTAAGACAGGAACATTTATCGGAGAGGCCGCTAGGATTGGGTTAAACAGTCAGTCTTACTCGGAGGTGCATAATGAAACATTCAGGAGCAGGGGGGGGGGGGGGGGGGACGTGTACAGTGATCGGATAATGACAGACTGAAATATTGCATCAATTTTCTTTCTTTCTTCTTCTTTTTTTTTCCCTCTTTAAAAAAAAAGTGCAAAACTCTTTTCTTACCTGACTTACCTTTGAAGAGTCCCTTAATGCCTCCCATCTTCTTGACCATCTGAGCAAACTTCTGGTACTGTTGAAGGAGTTCCTGGACCTCCCTGACCGAAACGCCAGATCCTCTGGCCACTCGCTGGACTCTGCCTGGACATCTCATGAACAGTTTGGCACCCTCTCTACTATCAAGCTCTGTGGACAGAATGTTACAGTCACAAATACTTTACATTTGCATGGGGAATCGTGAAGGTTAACAGAAAACAGTGGTAGATCCATAATTCTTTGCTGAGGAGTGAGAGTCCCAAAAATCTGTAATGTCTGACAAGCAACAACAAAGATTTTTACATTATTACATTTTCTACATTTTACCGTCCAAAATTGTGTCAGAGGGAGGGGGCATTTTGGTAAGTATATATATTTAATATAAAAATAATAATAATAATAATAAATAAATAAATAAGTACAACATAATGAAAAAATAAATAAAAAGAAAACCCATTCAAAGAAGAAAAAAAAGAGATTCTTCCCCTATTACAATTCATACTCTGTGTTTCATCAAAAGCTTGGTTGAGAATAAAAAGATGTATAATATAGTTTTGAATACTTTGTATAAAGTCATGCCTCCAATTGTAAGCTGCATATGATCCATGCTAACATATTGACCGTTGATCTTGCCTGTCAGACCACTTACCTTCATCCTTCATACTGTCCATCATGGTCATCAGTTTCTTGAGTCTTGCCATGGACTCTTGCTCATTGCCCTTTGTCATGAAATCACTGCTGAACCCTGGAATCATACCCTATAGATAATGCACAACAGACAGCATTATCATTACATGAATAATGCATTGTTTACATAGAGTAAGACCGCCAAACTTCGGACACTTTAGACAAAACAGGGGAAAACATTAAATTCTTTTTTTAATTATTGAAAGATCAAATATACTATTATTGTGCAAATACTGTTTATGTATATCATGAAAAGAAAATTAGTAAAGGAAATGGAAAACTAGAATTATTTACTTACCCGCCGAACCTTTTTTCATGCCAAGCTTCGGACGCACTTGCCAAGCTTCGGACGTTCATGAGTAGCGCACGTATAACGCACGTATAGCGCATAGCGCACGTACAGCGCACGTATAGCGCGCGCGCTAAAGTGCGCATTCATCGGAGGTTTGGAAACCGGATCAAAAATGGTACGACGGGGGTAAGTTTGACTGCGTTGATTTCATGAAAAAAGTATTATTTTCTCGTTTTGGGTAGATTTATTTTAGGTAGAACTATCAGAAAGGTGTTTTTCACAACACTCACACAATATTTTGGTGCTAAAATCTTACCAAAGCGCTATTTTTTCATAGTCAAAATGACACTCAATGTTGCCTGTCCGAAGTTTGGAAGAGCGCCATCTTCTGGTAGGGGTACCTGTATAGTACCCCTAGGTCCGTGGTAACGGCCGCCATTAGAAAATGTTCGCGATAGAGTGAAAAAGTATCTCATAAGCTCCCATAATTTTGGCAGAAACCATGTGAAATATGCCAAGGATTTGTTTGTAATCGATATATTGAAGGCTCTATACCTTAACTCCCCTGTTAAGGGACTGTAAAAATCCAGGTAACCTGAAATCTGTCTCTGAATTCGATGTTTTTTGTGAGTTTTGCAGACAGCAACCTGCCCTAACTTTCTGTACTAACGATGTAGGTTAGTAGTAGTATCAAATGCATGCAAGTTACCTGCCTGAGCTAGGCTCATATTTTGCGTTCGAGCCGTTGAAGGAATTTTTGTCCGAAGTTTGGCGGTGTCCGAAGTTTGGTGGTTTTACTCTACTGTTGAATAGCCCTGATGAAATCAGAGCTGCAATATAATCCCCATTTACATAAAACCCTAAACTTTATTTATTTCGAAATCATGCATGATTGTGTTTACCTGAGAGCACATCATTGGATTTTGATCAATATTAACTTTCCTAGCGCTTAGTTGCAAGTTAAATCAGCACACTAACTACTTGGATTATTGATGATTTTCATCATTATTCTGAACACATCTAGAAGCAAACTACTATCATACAGATATATCCAGTCCAGCATTCAATAGGTGAATAGATGAATTGGAAGAATTTTTGTTCAGTGAATTGATGAAGAAAAAAAAAGTGATATAAAATGTGACATTATGTTGTGCAAATAAAAGGGGAGTGCTGGAGGCATTTTATTCATGATTTAATGTCCACTTATCCGTATAATAATAATAATTATTATTATAAACCATTCTTGAATAGCAAATAACGTATTACATAAGAATGTCCCTCTGTTCTATGGAAGAAAAACTTTACATTAGACTGAAAACTTAAATTTTGATCAACTTGGCTCAGGGGCATATAATTGCGAAAATATACACCGACATAGAGGGGGGGGGGGGGGCACATTCTGAAGAGCATTGACACGTTTGTGTACATACCATGATTTGTCCAAAAGGTCCCATCTTCATGATATTCTGGAACTGTTCATACATGTCACGCAGTGTGAATTCACCTGGAGAAAGATACATGAAAGAACTTAATAACAAACCGCCCCTAAAAAATCACAAAGAAAATACATTGATTTTTTAACACATCTAATTGTACAACATTTAGAAAGGTTGATGCAAATATATCAGGTTGTACATGAATGAACTGAATTTCTATCATTTACAACACATGTTTTATATGCAAGTACAATCATTTCAATATCGCAGGATTCAGTTGAAGCTTATCAACACTAGTGTGGCTAGGAGGGATTAGACCACACAGCGAGGTCTCTGACAGGTGGCTATCTCATCAACTCAGCTCTCAAATAACATAAGAAAAAGAGGATCATGGGGGACCAACAGGCACCGATTGGGGAAGTTTTCTTTATAGAGGGAGCAAGTAGCTACAAGTAGGACAGTGGGGCTTTAAAAGAAACATGTCACATAAGATTACTTGACAGACTGTTCAGATTCATACTAAAATGGATTTGTTTCTGTTTTCAAACACTTAAAATAGAAAGAGAACATTCTCTGATTGCTTACCATGTTTGAGTTTGTTGATGAGTTCTTCATTGTCATCAAGGTTGAGTTCACTGACCTTGTCAATGAGACCCTCAATGTCACCCATGCCTGAGAGAACAAAATGAAAGAATGAAACTGTATGCATTAAAAGAAATCAATACCTATTTTATTTAAATCCCCTGAAACATTGTCAGAGATCCAGTAAAAACAATCTCCCCATGCATTGGCCCATTTTAAATGTAAAGAGTAAGTGACTGTGATGAGGTCTTCAGCACATAGTATGTGCCAGCTTATATTTAATTACCCTTATGGTAATCAGTTTAATCAGTGATATAAAATTTGCCTTGACAGACAAAGCACAAAGCTTCTATCCAAACATTTACAAATCATTATTTTCCATTTCAAATAGCTGTTAATATTCGCTCTTTTAAAAAACTTTATTTAGAATCTAAACTCTTTTTAACAAGTATCTCACAAGATTAATTGAAGAGCTTTTCCAACTCTCACAATTCAAGGTCTTATGAAAAGAATGTTTCTACACATACTGCAACTGCAAACATGTAAGAGGTTTACAATCAGATTAACAGAGAGAGAGAGAAAATAGTATGATATAGCTGTGAGAGGAAATGGATATGTAGGACAAACCATCTTGACAATGAAATAGCAATATATTTCTAATTCAGTGATGTGTAACAGCTAACGATTCTACCAGGAGAGTGTCATACCCAAGAGCTTGCTGATGAAAGGCTTGGTCTTAAAAGGTTCAAAATCATCGATGTGCTCTCCAGTTCCTATGAAGATGACAGGACTCTTTGTTGCAGCCACACTGCAAACAGATTTAAAATACATAACAATTATCATTTTCACAAAAATTAAAAAAATCATTGAAAATAAATCAACAAAAAATCATGATAACAAATGTTATCATTTGAGTGCATAGAACCCTCAGATATCTTGTTTAGAAGAACTTTAAAACATCCAGGGTTTCTTTAATCACTGTTTCTTCTTGTTCGATCTAAAATACCAGTCTTATAGGTATTTAAAAATACATAATTTATATTGATCTACTTACGCACTAAGAGCACCTCCTCCTTTGGCATGTCCATCTAACTTTGTGATGATGACTGATGCAACGTCCACTTTCTCCTTGAAGGCTTTGGCTTGACTCTCACAAGCTTGACCAATGGAAGCATCCATTACGAAGATGATGTTATCAGGACTCTAAATGTGTGTATAAACATGGAGGGGCAAGTCACTTTATCATAGGAAACACAACATTAAAGATAAAACACTGTGCATCTACAAAAGCATTCTAGAGTCACTTTGTTTTCCAAGACATACTGATTCATTTAGTTTGTTGTAGTCAACTCATATCTAATTGAAAGTCAACTCATGTCTAATTTAAAACTCAGAAAATATCGGTTCAGTTTAATAGATCTCAATTCATATGTACTTTTTACAAAACAATCAAAATGAATAAGCACTATGAATATGACTGACAAAGAAAGCGGACAAAATATACAGTTCCTCAGGTAGACAAAGGAACATCCCTTCACTGCTATTATGTAAAAATGTGTAGAACAGGTGTCACATGCATATTCACTTTTTAAATACTCGCAGTGAAGGGATGTTCCTTTGTCTACCTGAGGAACTTTATATTTTGTCCGCTTTCTTTGTCAGTCATATTCATAGTGAGGTGTGCTTATTACATAGTTATTCATTAAATGATATATCAATGTGGGCCAATTGTCTTTGACTTTTTTGTTTGGTAAACTTTAGATGAATGAATATAACACTGCTAAATTGATCTTTTGTAATTCATATGTGAGTATAATATATAGAAGTTAATAATAATAATAATGATAATAATCTTTTAAAGTCCACTCCAAATTATATTAAGTTAAACCGAAAATGAGATTCTTTTTGCCCAATTGATCGTGAGCCCGGCAGCCACTAAGCAGCGCCAGATCGACGTTGCTCTATCCCTTATTGTTCAGCGCCAAACAAGGTAGCAGCAACTCCCGTCTTTTAACGTCTTTTGGTATGACGCGGCAGGGGTTCGAACCCACGACCTCCTGGTTGTGAGGCGGACGCTCTACTGACTGAGCCAACACACCGGTGTATCACTCTGACCAAATATACTCTACTCTAATGTGATCATGGTCTCAGCATTATGGAACAGAACTAGCTTACCGTGACATTTGCGACCTGCAACATTTCCTCAAAGAGTGAATCTTCTTGTTTATGCCTTCCGCTAGTATCAACGATGATGATCTCAAAGTTTTCCTTCTTAAATTTCTCTACTCCATCAGCAGCTATAATAACTGGATCTACCTCTGTATAGCTGATAACACAGGGGATTTAAACAAATAACAATGAAAGTCTAGTATACACTTTTGATCATTACTTTTTTTATACTTTGATCTTTCATATGTATTCAAAAAAATGTTTGAACATCTAACTTCAGTTTCCTCTTTTTTTATAACTAAATGTAAAGAATCATCAAGGAATATTTGCCTATTATTGATTTTAAAAATTGAATAAAAAATCTGGATAAAAAGCAAAATCAGTAATCGACAATACCGTTGTGGAGTGAAATGTTTCTTATTTCCCTTATTTCATTTTCTTTTCATCAAATCAAAGTGTACATGGTAACACAACTCAAGTGAGGATAACATGTGGAAATAAACATATCTTGTAAGGTTCATATATTTGGTAAGGAAGTATTTTATAAGTTGACAAGCAATCATATATCGCACTCACCTGCCATAGAATGGTATCCTGGCTTTTGTAGCATTCTGTTTTAACTGATCAAAGGCACCTAAAATAAGACAGATAGGTATACAAAATAATCATACCAGATTTAATTTGCTTGTTTACATGTTTTATAATTTATACTTGAATCATCCGCTTATTTTTAGGTTAATAAATCATGAATAATAATTTATAAATGCATATACACATAATAGAGTACATTGCTTCAGCCAACATTGTACAAGTTGGCTCGAAGGATAATTACCGGTACTTGTTCTTCTGTTCTATATTATGTGGTAGAAAGATTTGTTCAATTTTATTTTTTATCTTTGTTCTTTCAATCCTTTTAAAATGTTAACAAAGTTAGTTTCCATGCACATGACATTCTGTCACTGAGATACACACAACGAAAATCCCTTCCAAGAGTTCTTTACATTTTCATAAAATAAATACAACAAATAGTAATCAAATAGTAGCGGGAAAATCTTTTATAATAAATAAGAAGAGTTCTGATGAACTTACCTGCTCGGAATGTATCTGCACAGATAAGAGCCACTTTCCACCCTTTCTTCTGATAGTAGTAAGCAAGCTATCAATGAGATAAAAGTGAACAGGTTATTATCATGGGAATCGGATCCTCAGAATAATCTTGGATCTTATAACTTATATTTGATGCCTAAAGGTATTTAGATTGCAAATGTCTATTACACCTAGAAGGCTAGAACACACATTACAATCATATCTATATTAAATTCAGCATTTTAAACTGAAACGATATTTTGGCTTGATAATTTTTATGAACATCATATCAGAACATGTGTATGACATTAGGATTCAATCAACCAAGATTCAATCAACCAAGCTTCCAAGTACAGATCTGTACATACCATTACACTAATGGTCAAGTTGAATAAAAAATAAAAAAATCTTTATTATCGCATGATACAATTTATCACCCAGATATTAAACAAAGCTTTCAAAAAAGCTCATGTGATTTTAATGAAATAGTTAAAGAAATACTGACACGATAACGGAAATAGTCTACTGACAGAACAAATTGTGCAATACTCCATATTAATCTGACTCGTCTAATTACCTTTGTGCAAGTTGTTGTTTTACCGCTTCCCTGTAGTCCCACAAACATGATGATGTTGGGCTTGGCTTTGGTTGGAGTCCACACCTTCACTCCGGGATCCACAAGCTGTCCAAAATCAAACAAAACATGAAATGAATTACTAAAGTAATGGTTCTAAATAACATACCTGACACTCCCAAATAGAAACAGACTATGTGTCTTAAATATCATTTGTTGGACACCATCATAAACACAACTAACTCAAGCTAATTAAAGTCTTATATTTGTAACAATTGTACAACAGAAGACAAGAATATAAAAATACTCTTTTTAATGAGTATCAAACGACACATCAACTTTTCAAGATGCTCAAAAATTGTTACATTAGTCTGTTGGTTGTACAAGACATACGCCTACTCCTGTGACAATGGCTTCATGGTCAACTCCATAAACTAACTTGAACTCTGGATCCAACACTATACCTACATTTGCAACTCTAAACCTATACCATTGATGAAATGAAGCCTGGAGCAATCGTCACAAGAGCAATTATCCAATCACCCTGTACAATGTACATTACCTTGACAAGCTCCTTGAAGACTGCAGTCTGGATCATCTTGCGTTTGTTGAGACCAGCTGCCATCTCATCAAAGTCAATGACAGATTTGACATTTTCTTTGAGAGCTTTGACAAGTCTGATGTTGACATCGGCTTCCAGAAGAGCCCTGCATATTTCATTGAGCATGGAGTTGAGTACCTAGATGTAAAAAACATTGATAAAAGGCATTTTTAAGCCACTGTGCTACACAGAGTTTTGGCACAATTCTAGATTATTCTGAGTATAGTACATTTTGCACAAAATAATGCAATATGCCTATATCATAGGCTATATATACAAGTAAGTTCCCACATTTTTAGTTTCCATACCGGTAGTTTGTTTTGAGAAGTACTACCCCCTATACACATTTTATATTATATTTACTCACAAGAGCATATTTTAACATATAAGTTTTAAAATGTGAGATTATGATCTTGTTCATTGTTTAACTTTTTTTGAACCAAAGGTCATTCATAATTTTCAAAACAATTTTTGACCTTTCCTGAGCTAAAACTAAAGCACTCATCGCTGCCATATTCTATCTTTTTTACAAAGAAGAATTAAATAAAACACATTACACACATCTGTATTGTAAACATCTTTCTTGTACTTTAATTCATACCAACTTTCCTATACTCACATCTTCATCGATGATGGTTGCATTACTCAATGATTTTAAGGCTGATGTGATTTTCCTTCCAAGATCTGCTAACACCATCTTGAATGAGTTTAAGAATGCTCACAATGGTTTAAAATGTCTTGGACAAACTCCCACTACTTGCTTGTCTTGGGCCGTTTCGTAAGTATTGAAGGTAACAATATGAGAAACAGATCTGTATTGAGGAAAAGGGGAAAGAATACAGCATATTATTACATTATTTTCACACAAACAATAAAATCACAATCTAGTATATCTATGGCTAATAAAGTAATATGTGAAGACTAACAATATGGTAGGGTATTCTGCAGTGCAATGAAGCCGAAAAAGGGGACCATGGGTGATAGGGGACCAATGGTCACCGATTACCATTAGGCATTGTTTGCTAGACCTATATTTATAGAGGGCGCAAGCACACATAGGTGCATCACTATCCTGGCTGTGTAGTAAAAGCTGTGCTTTTGATTCTCAACATTTCAAACTTCACTGTACAAAACTCAACTGATTTCACTCAAAATTGGTACTTTAGTGACAATTGATGACACCTAAATAGCAGTAACATTCAACATTTCAACTTACTGATGTTAAAAAGAATAATTTAAAATTAAAATTGTAAGTCTAGTGTCAAACTTTGCTTACAGCTGCATCGACATGATTGTGTACAGTCTATGAGATATTGTGTGGTGTGTATATTTGTGTATAGACTTCTAGGTCCCTGCCTCACAGCATGTATGCAGTGCTAGAGGTCAATACGCTTTAGCATAGACCGAAAGCTTCAGTCTCTAAACCGTCGGTTGTTCCACTGAGACTACGTCTGGCTCCACTAGACCTCCGGTTATAGAGACTGAACGATCGCCTATGCCAGCCTATGTTGAAGATATCACGGCTAGATTTTAGCCGTTAGGCCCCTCCCACAAACATGACAAACTTGCCACGGCCGTATTGTTATGCCCCCAAAATCCCCCAAAATGTCATTTTACCTCGTGCATATCCAATTTTACATTAGGCCTAGGCTATAATACATCGGTTCCACTTACTAACTTGATGGAAATAATCCGTTTAATGGTCCCTTTTAAGGAAATTATGGGTCAAATTCGACATCCATGTTGAAAATCTTGCAAGCCGTGTTAAACTCTCGCTGCCGTCAATCTCATCCCTTCTAGTCTACGCCGAAGGCAAAATGATTATGAAGGAAAAACTGTGATAACGCCATTACGAACGTTTAGATGGCGCACAGTTTTTCCTTCATAATCATTTTGCCTTCGGCGTAGACTAGAAGGGATGAGATTGACGGCAGCGAGAGTTTAACACGGCTTGCAAGATTTTCAACATGGATGTCGATTTTGACCCATAATTTCCTTAAAAGGGACCATTAAACGGATTATTTCCATCAAGTTAGTAAGTGGAACCGATGTATTATAGCCTAGGCCTAATGTAAAATTGGATATGCACGAGGTAAAATGACATTTTGGGGGATTTTGGGGGCATAACAATACGGCCGTGGCAAGTTTGTCATGTTTGTGGGAGGGGCCTAACGGCTAAAATCTAGCCGTGATATCTTCAACATAGGCTGGCATAGGCGATCGTTCTGTCTCTATAACCGGAGGTCTAGTGGAGCCAGACGTAGTCTCAGTGGAACAACCGACGGTATAGAGACTGAAGCTTTCGGTCTAGCTTTAGCATTGACTCTCTATGCTTTGCTGGAGTGGGCGCAAGTAGCTACAACTTCAACCCATTGAAACGTGTGTGTTAATTCTACAACACACGTTTCAGCGGTGTCTGGTCAGGTCGCCCCCAAGCCGGTCGCCTCCTATACGCAGTCGCCTCCTATACGCAGTCGCCTCCTAACGTAGTCGCCCCCAAATTGTGTGGTCGAGTCGCCTCCTATACACAGTCGCCTCCTATACACAGTCGCCCCCTATATACACAGTCGCCCCCTACGTACAAAGGCAGTACGCTAGCGCAGCGGTCAGAAGCAGGTTATTTAATGTAATGATGTCCACCTTCTTCTAGATAACTATTTTGTGCTAAAGTATAATGTGATAAACGTTTCATTTTATGTTGATGCAACAGAGATTTACATTCAAAGGTTTTACTTTTTATAATTGTACAGTAATACTCTTCTCATTTCGACATTATCAGCCACTGGTTCTCTGTTTCATTCCCTAAACTAAATAAAAGGTATGTGAGGGGGGGGGGGGGGGTTAGAAAGTTGGACGTAGCCTGTATAGACCGTACTGTATTCATTGTTATGATATTTGTCTCTCCTCCTCCAATCACTCCCTTCCGGCTTTGATTTTGTTCTTTAGTTTTTTCTCTTTTGGTGTGATTATATCTTTTCGCTAAAGTATAATTTCAGACGTATACCATCAGGAATATGTTATAATAATTAATCTCAAGGAAGGGATGATGCCGGGATACAAGCAAATGGCGGAATAGACAACATTATGGAAGATGAAGATGGACATAGAGAGATAGGGAGAGAGAGGGGTGGCGGGAGATAGAAAGTTGGACGTAGTCTGTACTGTATTTATTATTATGATAATTGTCTCACCGACTCCCCCCCCCCCCCCCCCCCCCCCCCAGCTCATTTTTTTCTTTAGTTTTTCTCTTTTTGTTTGTTTATATCGTTTGGCTTAAGTATAATATCCGACGTATATACCGTCAATATAGCATAATAATTTTTTTTATTTTTATTTATCAGTTTGAATTAACAGAGATTTACAGTAATATTCTTCTCATTTCGATATTATCAGCCCCTCGTTCTCTATTTCGTTCCCTAAACTAGATATAAGGTATAACATGTGAGAGGGGGAAGGGATAGAAAGTTGGACGTAGCCTGTATACTGTATTTATTGTTATGAATCACTCCCTTCCGGCTCTGATTTCGTTCTATAGTTTTTCTCTTTTGGTGTGATTATATCTTTTCGCTAAAGTATAATTTCAGACGTATACCATCAGCAATATGTTATAATAATTAATCTCAAGGAAGGGATGATGCCGGGATACAAGCAAATGGCGGAATAAACAACATTATGGAAGATGAAGATGGACATAGACAGAGAGAGGGAGAGAGGGGGAGAGTGGGTTGGCGGAAGATAGAAAGTTGGACGTAGTCTGTACTGTATTTATTATTATGATATTTTTTCTTAATCCTTGTCTGAATTCAGTTTTCCCTCACCGCGCTGACGTTTCATTAAATTATTAGAGAATGGTTTTCGACTCTTAATCCTTGTCTGAATTAAGTCCCCCCCCCCCCCCCTTCCGCATGAAGCGCGGAAGCTTTGACGTTTCATTAAATTATTAGAGAAAGAACAAAAAAGACGATTCGTTGTACCGACTCTTCATCATTGTTTGAATTATCAAAAATGTTTCTTTGTTATTATTATTGTTTCAGCGTTATCCTCCGCGCGCTTTATAATAATGAAGGACAAAAGCGCCGCGACATAGTAATAAGGTATGTATTTGGAAGAATAACTGCTTTTTATTTGTGCACAGATAAAAGAAAAGTGACATCTATACACAAAATAAACACAAATTATTAGACAGGTTAAAATTGTAACCTATAGTGCTTTCGAATACTTGAAAAGATGAGCAGATGTCCCTTACAATATTCATTAAACAAAATCACGCACTTATATATATATTATATATATAATGAATTGAGAGTAAAATTAGATAACGTTTCGTTCATTTGGGTTTACTGCCGAAAGCTTTTATTTCGATCTATTTGCTTCATAATAAATTAATATAAGTCATATCAATTATAGCTCACTTTTAATTCAATGTAGAGACATTCTCTTCTATTTCTATTTTTAAACTTTTACAACTATCTCATGACGACACGTTCTAGTATGGGTCTTGTAAGTAGTGAACACAAACTATATGGGATTAAAAAGGGATCTGAAAATGCTCTAATTTGCTTGCGTGTACAAATTATACTTGAGAAAAGCTAAGAAAGCCAATCTATTAAATCCTTATTATCTCTATAGCCTGTGGATACTCCCTTAAGTTCCGTCACTAAGCCAGCCAGAACGATTTATTTATTTATTTATTTAAAATGGTTTATTTCATTAAAAAACATTCGCGGCCCGAGAGCCGAATCAGTTTCTTTTACAAAGTATACATCAGTGACAAAGTAAAATTACACATAAAAATTATGCATGGTAGCATAATGGTAGTAAAATTGCAATTCTTTTGTACATAATTGTGCTTCAACGACCTTGGCAAATTGCTTGGTACACTCTGAAAACTGAAATGTTAAATCACAATTTAAAAGGGCCGAGGAGTGACCACTCTTTCAAAATGGTAGATTAACACTTTGAACATGCTGGATCCAACACTATAAAGGTCGAATCTAGCAGGTTAAAAGAAACAATCTGACATTTTAAATATTTTGATATTCAAAAGAATTAAATGTTTTAGTTGGAAAATGCGTAGCCAGATGGGTATGGTTATATGGTATGGTTATGGTGTTTTCTTCAATAACAGAAACAAAGACAACAACAGAAACCAAATCCAGGAATTATAAAGTCAAATAGATGCTCCAGTGATTTAAACAGATTATACATTGTAGGCAAAATGCAGAACATTGTGTATTTGGGCCAATTTACTAAAAGGTACATGTAGAATATGATATTGCATAAAAATAAGATAAGTTTCGCATAAAAAAATGGGTAAAAGTTTGCCATTGTAATATTCGATATAATGTGCATCATCTTGGGAATTGTTAAAAAGTCAAACAGGATTTTATACAATTAAAACTGATTTAGTTTAAAAAAAAAGTAAAATTCTATATTCTAACCCTAGTAACATTATTAAAAAATCCATTCACATGTCATCCTTTTATTTAAGAACTTATACCAGAGAAAGAGAGAGAGAAAGAAGGAGAGTGAGAATAGGGAGAGAGGGGGGTGGGAGAGAGATAGGGAGAGATAGAGGGAGAGAGAGAGAGGAGAGAGAGATAGAGAAAGAGAGAGAGAGAGAGAGAGGGGGGGGGGGGACAAAGAGTGAGAGTAACAAGACAGTGAGCTAGCCAGAAGGCCATGAAGAGGGTCTCCCGCTTCGCAGCACAGCACTGACAGAGAGGAGACAATAATATTGAGAGAGTGATCGATGTGTTAGTACGTAAGCTGGTGGAAACTTATCCTCGAAAATATGCGTTACAATGGAAAACTCGAGGAAAATTTTCAATATTTAGTAATATCATAGAACTGAGATGCCAGGAAGTAAAAATGGCTTGACTTTGAACTTGTAAAAGACATCAAATTAAAACAACAAATTAGGGGGCGAGCTGACCAAAAAACTGGGGGCGAGCTGACCAAGAATCCCAAAATCGGCAAACAAAATCGGGAGGCGACATGACCAATTGAGGGCGACTTTGTAAGGGGGCGGGCTGACATTAGGCGAGCTGACATGGAACCGTTTCAGCGGGATAGTCAAGAAGTTAGACTTATGACGGTTTTGAGGAACGGGGCCCTGGCCGCTTTGACTTTAACTTTTTAAGCCCAAGTCATAACTTTGCTTCAAATGGCTTTATAACACTGCACTGCGATTGCGCTTTCTCATCAACATACTATTATTTACTGTAGTCCCACAAATTAATTTTCATGTCATATGCAACTATTTACAGTTGCAACCAAATTTATTCACAGCTGTGGTACCTTTTCGACAATCATCTACTCGTGGTTCATTGCAAATCACCAATAAATAACGGGAAAATATGTAATTTATCAAAAAGCATAAAAACATACCGGTTAGATAGAAGATTTGCACATATTTTACACCAATATTTATCCTTCCTTTTTCGATCTTGTCAATGCAGTTTATTCACTACGTGTTAATGTTATGAAGGCCAACTTGATCGTAAGTGGCGCTATATATCTCAACTTGCTCGAGTCTAGTTGACCGCTGAGCAAAGTGGGTTTTTTTTCCCTTTTTTTTCTGGGTTCCTCTGCCACCTTCAATCGTGAAGATTCTTCTTGCAGATAAAACACGGACTTATAAAACTAACTTGAGTGTTTCATGTGTGCATCAGCTGTGGTAGTGTAGTGTGCATGAATTTTTACAGGTGCTTTTTGGTGCAAATGAAATACTACATCGTTGCCTTCCATTAGATTCTGATGAAATGCTGGCAGTGATGGTGACATCACTGTTTCCAGTGGCAAGTTGATCCATGTCTCTCACTGTTCTTGGAAAAAGGAGTAAATGTGGAACCTGGTATTTGAGTTGATTAAATTCTTTTTTATGTAAACCTTTTATCTTTAGAATTGTAAAACTTATCGTAAAATAATTCCAAATTTTGAGATTACAATTCTACCGCCGGGCACTAACATTTCTAAAATAATATATTTCAAAGAATGTATGCCGAATGTGTTCATCCCTTACATTTCATTAAATTCCATTTGACTTTTGTTGGCCTGAATGAAGTAACCATATTGGAAATGATAATAAATAAGATGAAGCAGACGTTTTTTTATAGCATTATCCTAACCATCAAACTTAAAACTCATGTATATAACCAGCCTTGTGCTACTTTTCTTGAAGACTTTATGTCCGATAGCTTTGTAACCTCGAAAATTACGCTTTTCAGATTCTAATCCATGACAAAAAATGAGTGATAGTGGAAACTCATGTTTACAAAGACTGAATGGATCTTAGAAACCTACGAACGATAAGACCGTAATAAACGGTACAAAAAATATTCATCTTCTTCTTTTTATTTTAAATGACATTCAATATGTTCTTTTTGTGCAAACAATAATGAAATGAAATAAAATCAATCAATCAATCAATCAATATCAATCAATCAATGAACAAATTGGAACTTTCCGAAAGTTTTCGGTAAGATTTATCACACTTTGACTGATGTTTGAAACATCACTGAAGTTGATCTCTTCAAGTTTGACTAGTGCTGTAGACTTTCCTTAAATTATCCCATCTCTTGACTGATGATACACTGAACTTTTTTTATCAATGATGGGGAAATGCCATGTGTTCGAAAATATTTACCATCATCTTCATTTTCCTGCACGTTGTGCCATCTTAACTGATTCTTATCAAGATCGAATGGCTGCATTCTTACCTCGTAAGATAATTGCTCATAACAATAGCGCTTGAATCATTTGACATTACAAGCAAATAGGCGTATCAGACTTAGGCCTAATAACTTTTTTTACGATAAATTCATAATTCTATAGTTTCAAGTGGCTACAAAAAATGTATGCAATATTTTAAAGATAAGAAAATGATAGCAAGCACACGACGAAATTCAGCTCACTAAAGTAAAAGAAACTACATAATGTTATTATTAGTGAATCAAATTAAGAAGAAAAAATAAAGGTTACCGTGTGGTATATCAACATCACCTACTTGTTGACCGATCGTAAACAAAGTAAAGATTTTAACTAACTACTTACTATATCACGTGCATTGTATACTTGCACTGTTACCTAATAAACTATTCTGAGATTGTAAAGAAACGATAATTTAAAATGAGAGTATACTAAACAAGGCAACCAAATCAAAGTAACCTCGACATAAAATTCTGATACACAATATTACGTGACCATTTTTTTCTTTCTTTCTTCTTCTCCTATCATTTCCATTCACTCCTTGCCCCTATTTTTTCCTCCCACAAATTCGGTTAATGTCTTTAACATTGACATCCTTTTTGCCATTCTAGTCGGCTTATCTCCATGACCTGGCTGAAATTAATATCAATTTAGATGAAAAGGGCCTTCCTCACGTAATCAGTGGAGTATATTAAACAGCGGTCTGACCCTAATATCGTCCCTGAATTACGTAACGTCTCATAACAAAGCGCTCGTCACGCTCAAAGTCAAAGTAAACTCTATCGCGATAATATTTTTTTCCCTTCATAAACCGTCCCTATAACGGGCAAAAGGGAGAAAATAAGAGCATTGTGTGAGTCTTTTGATTCACGAGGTCACGTGTAATAGAGGAGTGAGGTCGCATGGCTTAGAAGAGAAACACGCTCATGGACATCAAACAAGGGGTAAAGATGGATAAATCCACACACCTCTTCATCGCCTAGCTGACTCGCTCCCTCACTCCCCCAAAAGAGGAGGGAAGTTATATTTGTAACCTTGCTATTTACTTTTAAGAGTTTGGAGGGCAGTGCACTTCCATCAAGATAATAATTCATAATTTATAATAATTGCTACATCATAACAGGTTAACATTATCAAGAGAAATGTTGAGGCCAAAGCATGCTGTGCTAGAACTTAAGGACATTTTGGCACGTTGGTCGTGTTTGATCAAGAATAAGAATAACATTTAAAAAAAAAACGAATTATTCATTCACACAATGATCATCTTATAAACCATTATAATTTCCTTTCTCAACTTCTTCCGATTGGTTAACATAAAAACGAATGAATAAACCAAAGTCGCTGGTTTTCCATTTTTTTGTATAATAATGGAGCAAAACATCCATTCGCTGAACACGCTTCAGCTCATGATTTTGATAACAAAATAGATTATTACTAATGTGGGGCAGGGGGATGCTAAATCATTAAACCCACTGAAACAAATTAGACCTCTTCAATAGCAACTAAAGACTAAAAATTACCCCTCCTCCCCCTCCCCCCTAAAAAAAAGTTCCGTGACGATCCAAAACTTCCCTTGACCCCTTCCCATTTCTGGCTAACAGGCTCTCATTAACAGGCATTTTCAAGATAGCTAATTATTGTTCCATACATCAGGATAATTCCGATTTTTCATCGATATTCATGGTCGATTTGTTTGATTAAACTCGAGATACGTTTATTGTTAGTTAACTCGTATGCCTTTTCCCATTTAATTGAGGTCGACTTCATTTTCCCCTCCCAATCTTGGGTTCTTGTACTTTCTTTCTGAGAATGTTCAAAGCATTCTAAAACTTATTTTCCCCATTATGTAAGGTGACCTATTAATTTTCAGACAGCCTTCTAAAAGTTCCACTCACTCGTTCGGATCACCTCGCGAATTTCCGCACGAAGGATACTTACGCAACCAATTAAACAATGGTTTCCAACTGACCGGACGACCGGATTGGCCTATGTAATTTATGACCTGACTTTACGCCTCAATTCCCGCCAAAACTATTGCCCAAAATTGCATCTAAATTTGACCGATGCCCTTGACTGCAGGTGGTCTGCAATAGGGAAGAAAAACATGAAAGGACACTACTCTATGAAAAGTTACACAGATGTTGTACTTTTGTGAACCCATGACTCAATAAACCATCGTGAGAGGTGCTCATTGAGACCAAATGACCGTTGCGAAACTTCTCAATGTTATATCACAGAAGTGATTATCATTGTGTCTTTTAATGACTATACTTAATTCAACAATTACCTATTGTGCCAGTATAGCCTTAGTAGTTCAAAATAATGGTCAGGTTTCAAGTGTCCGCCGCGGCAATGAATGTCCTATGATGGGCTACTAGTAGGCCTATATATTTTATTCAAAGTTCAGGCGGAAAACTTTATATGAACATTACAGAAAGACGTGGGCTTCCAACGGATATTTTTTTTAGCTCTTTCCATCCTCGCTAACAAAGTTATCTAGATACTCAACAACCAATACAGTGATTACCGCAAAATTGGACAAATTTTTAGGGTGGGGTGCAGGCGCGGATCCAGGATTTCTTAGGGGAGGGGGGCCCAACTTTTTTTTTTTTTGCTCCCGAAAATTTGAAAATCGCGCCGGCCGAAAAGTCGCTCAGTGGGGGGGGGGGGGGGAGGGGGGGGGGGTACAGAGCACAATTTTTTTTTTTTTTTTTTTTTTTTTTTTTTTTTTTGCTCCCGAAAATTTGAAAAAACGCGCCGGCCAATAATTCGCTCAGCGGGGGGGGGGGGGGGGGGGGGGGGGGGGGGGGGGGGGGGTGGGGGGGGGGGGGGAGTAGTGAGCATATATATTTTTTTTTCAATTTGCCCCCCCCCCCCCCCTTGAGCGCCAGGGGGGGTGGGGGCCAACCCCAAAAAGGTAAAAATCACGTGATTTTACATGATTTTTTTTTCTCAAGGGATCCGCCACTGGTGGGGTGACTGTCTCCAGGAGCACGGCGTACCTGAAATGTTGTCGCGTCCAGGGCATTGTGGGGTCATGTCCGATATTTGACCAATGAGAGATGACCTGAGGTCAAGATGGATGTCGGTATGTCTCAAGGTAGACTGTAATATGGTAGGTCAGTGAACTCACACATAATATGTGTGAGTACGTATGAATGTCACGTCTTGCTTTGGCAGCGGTCACAATCATCTTTGAATGAGCAGGGGCGGATCCAGGATTCCCTTGCAATGGGCTCGGGAGGGATGCAAGTCCGACACAATCTGACAAGCATGTTGGGTCTAAAACCGTCCCCGGAGATAGAGAGAGAGAGAGAGAGAGAGAGGAGAGAGAGAGAGAGAGAGGGGGGGACAGAGAGAGGGACAGACAGACAGACAGACAGAGAGACATACAGACATATTACAGAGAGACAGAGAGTGAGACAGAGAGAGAGAGAGAGAGAGAGGGGGAGAAAGAGAATTAAGGAGTTTCACTGAACTGCTTCAATAATAGATACAAATTAATGTTAAAAAGACAAGAAAGAAAGAGAGGGAAGGGGCACATTAACCAGGGCCATTTTTTGTGTATAGTAGATTTTGCCGGTGGATTTTGCCGTAGCCATGTAAGCGCCCTCTGGATCCGCTATCGAAAAGGCATCATGGTGATACTCTACCTCTGCATAGAGATTTGAATATACATAAAAACAGGTTACAACAGAAAGATTTCAAACATAGAACAGAAAGAAGGAACAAATCTACTTGAATATAAGAAAGGCTAAGAAGGGAAAAAGGATGCAGTGTTTCCATTTATGCATA